TGATGGTAAGATGATGTCATGGGGTAGGACTGGATAAGTCTGACTTCTTTCTACTCCATTCAAGCATGTACTAGGTATAAGCAAATGGATATTGGATTATGTGTAAAATTATGTGTGTTGTCATATCAACTGTCTTTACATGCTTGAAAGAATAAATTGAATCAAATCAAATCAAATCAAATTCTGTGAATAAGAAAACAAAACAACTACATTTTTTTCTAATATTGTAACTTTTGCTCTGAGTTTTGGTGTTGTAGCTGCTGTTTGATGTTTATTTGTAATAAATGTTTACGATACATTTCAGCTCCACAAGCTACCAAATCTGAACATATTTTACCTTCATGTCCTGTCTTCATTTCATTGGCCTACCAACAGACAGGTTATATTTCTTATCTTGCCAAGAGAGATGTTTTGAATCAAAAGGCTCAATACTCTAAATATGAAGAAAGTTCTTGTACTCTTACTCGCCCCTTGCCGTTTGTGTCATGTCCGCTCCACATCACCTGATGGACTCGGGGGCAAGCGGCACGGGTGTGGCTGATTGGCATCTCCACAGCTGTTCCCCATCCTGTCATCAGCCACTTCCTTACTTAACCAGCTCACAGGTTCCCAGCACTCCCTAGGTCAAGGTCAAAGTGTTTATTTGTCATATGCACAGTTAGGAAACGTGTTTCCCTGTACAATGAAATTCTTACTTTGCCGTCCACATGAATGCCACAAAATACAAGTGAAACATAAAGTAGATGAGCACAAATCAAAAATCTAAGGCACTTTAAAGCAGCAAGTAAAGGAAGCAAAGTTCATGCATCTTTCTTGAACCTTTGACGGCCAACCTATGTATTGCCTGTGATCTCAGCAACCTGCGAACCTTGCGCTGTTTTCGACTACAACACGACCGGTCCTCCTCTCAGCCCTTTTTTTTCTGCTCCCACCTTGCCTTGATTGTTTTGCATAGAAGCCCCTTGCTGTCAATGCACCTAAGAGAGCGATATAAAGGGCAGTACCTGTCAACCTGAGGTCTCAAGTCATGATTTATGGTATGGGATGTCATGTGTTGGGCTCTAAGTCCCACCCACCTTTAACACCATGCTTCTGTCTAGTTCAAAAGGCAGACCCCCAGTTACATACCTCAAGGGACTTCGCATGTAGGTGTTAGTATTTGACATGGAAACATTATATTATCAGTTTTATAAGAGCATGAATGGATATTATTAGGGTTTCCCACAGAGGAATAGGACTGACCAATAGGGTTATTACATCAAAGGGATTCTATTGCATTAGGTCTGATCACCCACACACACACTGATGCTCTCTGATGACTGATCAGTGTAAAACTTAATGTTTCATTCGTGGGGTTAAGGGTTAGTATCAGGGTCCAGTTTCAAGAGACATTACCACCAATACCTATGATAGATGTATGGCTTACAACTGAGTTAATTAATTCTCTTTCAGAATTGCTGTAATCAAATATGAAATTAATATTGTAAATAATTCTCTCACGCATAGGGAAAGGCAGGCATAGTTTAATTTTAAGGAAGTTTACCCCTGATAGTTTTGATAGCTGTAAGAAATGAAACTAAATTAAATATAGAATAAAAATAAATATTATTCTGATAAATGGATAATTCTCTTAATTTGGGAAACATGGCAATTCCACCCCTTTTGTAATATAATTCAAAATTGTGATAGATATAAGAATTAAAGCCAAATTATAATTAATAATTATTTCTCTTTTCAAAATTACTGTAATTAAATATTAAGCAAATGTGATATGTAGTGAGAGTGGAACAAACCAGCATTTTTACAAATGAAACACTTTATTTGTGACATACATTTCCAGTAAAACGTGCTGCTGAGTGAAGTCAGAAGGCAGACAGACTAACGCCACTGGTTTTAGTAACAGGAAGAGAAATGTAATTAAAACCAGGTTAATTTATCTTAGACCATATTGTCTGACCCCTGATATATTTTATCAGGCTGTTCTAGTCCATCTCTGCTGCTGCTGCTCATTTCATTTGGCCTGTTGACCTACTGCTCCCACACATGACACAGACCTGCTCAGGGGCTCAGACTACTCGCAGTACACATCATCATAATGTCATTGTTATTATTGTTCACTGTGATTCCAACTGTGAATCTTGATTTTATATTATTATCTTTATTATTAATTTTGGCATAATCATTAGGTTCACTGGACTTTGTGCGTAAAGATGCATGTGCTACTAAAATATCACTTCTATTATGCTACCTCTTAACACTTTACCACAAACATACTTCTGCCCTTGTACACATAGTTCATCCTAGTATCCAAGAACAAGTATCATCTACTTAACATACGTATATATAGTGTAACTGATTATTGTGCAGTGTCAATTGGAATTGTGCTCTTTTTTTACCTGCAGTATGTTGAGGCAGCTGCAGGGTGTAATATTAGATTTCTACTGGTAGATGGCGCTATGTGCTTGGTAATCAGCATTATAACCGAGCGTGGCGCTAATTTCCAATTAATCTTCATTAATTCTTGTTGATTTTTCGTTTGTTATTTAATTATATCCTTTTAATACACTGGATTTGAATTTTTCATATATCTTGAAAATTGTTTAAACCTGTAATACACGTCTGATTTAAAACCAAAGACTGAAAAGCGTTTTTAGTGTGTTTGTATCAAGTTTAAAACACATATGTATGTTTGAAGTCCGTCAGAATTACCTCAGTTAATGTACAGGCTTCACAAAGTCTTCTCGCTAAGTGTGCATGTAGTAATCTTAATGATCAAATGATGTTTCACACATAAGTCATCGTCTGTTTGGGGAGAAGAAAATTATGCAACCGACGTGTTACCATAATAAACCCTTGTTCCTCAGAGGAGTGGTGGCTCTGGAGACGTAGTAGTCTATAATCCCTTGCGTTCAGTTGGTGGAAATCCCCACGTGGTTTCGACTCCTGTATAAAAACTTTGGGTGTGCTGCGCCCCTGTTGTCTGTTTGCAAAGGAAGAAAAGGGTCTCAGTGAGCAGCATCTTCCAGAGCGCACGGAACTGGCCTTGTACAGTGGCACGCACCGGACATGGTACCCAGGCGCATACACAAAAGACCCAGGACTCACTGAGCGCTGTTATTCTCCTTGGGACTGCAGCTGTACAAGTGAACTTTGTGCATGCGGTTTGAATGGGAACCAATGGACTGATCGCCTTTCGACACCGAAGAGGTTTTGTTTAGACTCTTAGACGGAGGAGAGTAAGTGTCCTCGTTTGTTTTGGTCGATCACCCGGTCTGAACTGAACGCAGTGACAGAAGCGTGTCAACAATCAAAACTCGTGAGTGCGCATCGCAGTCAGGTGAACTTTTGTTTTGGGGCAGAAAAAAGACGCATCGTTGGATAGTGAGCTGAATGCATAATGACCGGAGGTAATTAGCCTCACATTTTCAGCAGCACTCTTTTATGTTGAGGAATACTATCTTTTAATTAGCTTCTTTGGACATCTCCAGTCGTCTAACTTCTGGAGCAGCTAGTGGATGTTGTCCTGGAACTTAGAACTTCGGAACCTCGGTGTTTTTATGTAACAGCTTCACCCTTCTCTTCTTCAGCATCTGGACAATACGTTTAAGTCTCGAAAAAATGAACTCATACAATCTGGCATTGACCTGTTTAGTTGCGTGCGTTCTCGTCGTGCGCTGTAGCTCGGTCACCGGGACGGAGACTCAGGGTTCGCCGCAAGAGTCGTGCGCGTCCTGTGGCCTCAGGGCTCCGGATCAGTCGGAGCGGGTAAACATAGACTTCTTAGAGGCGGTGAAGAGGCACATACTGAACCGGCTGCAGATGAGGGACAGACCCAACATCACCCATCCCATCCCGAAGGCTGCGATGGTGACGGCTCTGAGGAGGCTACACGCCGGCAAAGTGCGAGAGGACGGCCGGGTGGAGATCCCCAGCTTTGATGGACAGGCTGCATTCAACAACGAGGTTCAAGCGGAGACCTCGGAGATTATCAGCTTCGCCGAATCAGGTAATAATCAATAATTCATTGCACACATCTAACTCGACCTCTGGGTGAACCGTTTGAATTTATGTAGACCCAACAGGCAATGCAGAGTTTAGGTTAGTAGCCTGAAATCTGTCTGAAATGTAGAGTTAACACCTGTAGGTTTATCCTGAAGGTTGGACCAAGCAGCAGCTGTAGACCGGATGAAACAGACCTAAGAGTTGTTTGGTCAGCTATCACCACGAACTCACTGAATTCAGTGCAGTCATCGTTTTCATCATCTTATTACATCACAGTTCTCCCCTCTGAAGCCTTGGTTGGTGTTAAATCCTCCTGTTTTAGCCCCGTGAAAGTCAAAAAGAGATGAAACTAAAGAAGAGTCCTTAAATTACCCCCAGTGTATTGTCTAGGGGATAAAAAGAACCTCTGAGTCCAATTTCATCACTAAAGCTGTGCTCACACTCAGTGTGCCAATGTAAAGGCCCTCTTTTAAATAGGAACAAAGTCCCTCAATTGGGCATTTATCCTTTCCTCTAAGAATGTGTATCTAACTAATTCTCAGAAGTCCAAAGAGATCACCCTTTCCTCTGTGTGTCTCTCTCTCTTTCCTTCACACACACCTGCGTCATATACACACAGACTTACACACACCTAAAATCATCTGCGCTTGACAGAATCCAATAATTGTCAGTTAGCTTGTGAGAACCACATATTTGAATCAAACTGTTAGTTTTCCAAAAAGAAAACATACAATTAAAGACACCAAAATAGGATGTCTTAAACACACTCACACACTCACACACCATCCTGTCTTTTCTCAGTGGCCCTGCCGGTACAATTAGCCTCAATGGACTGCTGGGTCCTGCCTTGCAATGGGAATGATCTGAGCACTCATGGCAAGGGAACAAAAGCCAGGCAATTATTATAAGAGCACTACGCGTTCCTG